AACAGCCTGAACTGAGCCTGACTGAAGCCAGGAGCCTGGAACTCCATCCGGTCTCCCAGGAGAGTGGCAGGGACCCAAGTGCTTGTGCCATCTTCCTCTCCTTTCCCAGGTGCATTAGCAGGGAGATAGATCGAAAGTGGAGCAGTCAAGACTCCAACTGGCTCTCATATGGGATGCCAGTGTTACAGGCAACGGCTTAACCCAACTGTGCCACAATGCTGGCTGCAGAAATTCTTGTTGTATGTCTCCTATTACAGTGGTGCCTTGTATCCAAGGAGGATTGGTTCCCAGACCCTGTGTAGATAGGAAAAATCTGCAGATGTTGAAGTCCATTATATAAAATGGCATAGTATTTGCATGTAACGTATGCATATCCTCCTGTATACTTTCAATCATCTCTAGATGACTTATCATAATTCATACAATGTAAATGTGATGCAAATAGTTGTTATACTTAATTGTTTAGGGAACAATGACTAGCAAACAATTTATACATGTTCAGCATAAACACAATTTGTAAAAAAAATCTTTTCAATGCAGGGTTGGTTGATGCACACAGAGATATGAAAGATTGAGTGTACAACATTTTGCACACAAAGCCTCTTAAAATAAAGCTTATCACAAATAAATGTGTTTCTCCAAATGTTCTGTTACCCCACCCTAGTTTATCATGATTTTTTAATGGAAAGGGAGTTGATAAATTCAACACATACACCTGCAGGCACAGGCAGATACACACACTACCTGTTTTCCAAGAGGAGACCTTAGGGCGCTTGCTGTGTAGGCTGTTGAGGTTGACATTGGCAGTCAGCTTAGAATCACAGCAGTACAGGGCAGGTTCTCAGGCAGCCCCAGTCCTGGAGTTCACGTCAGCCAGGGTGGCCCTAACTCTCAGGTACTGCTTATGTTTCTTCAAGACTTGCAAAAGATGAATATTATGTCTCTGTTTGGTTTCCCAAAGCCCACACATGTAACAAAGTGAAACAAGTACACACTTAGTCTGCAACCTCAGTCTGAAATCTGATGCCACAGCAACAGGGGCAGAAGCCATGCTCTAGGTCATTTTTAGGGTCTTCCATAGAAGTCAAGCAGTGGAGTGTTAAAAGCTAGACTCAGGAGCTCCTTAGCAATGCTATTTAACGTACTGCAGTTTTCTTATCTTCACAACAGGGTATGATAATACTGTACCCACTTTTATAGAGTTGTGAGGATTTACAATTGATGAGTAGAAAGACAAGATTCTGGATTACCATGGACACTTTTTCTTTATTTCTGACATTTTGAAAGAAGAGCTAAATAAATATATTAGTGTACATTAGGGATTGCTTGCCCATGGCAGTTACACGTGGGATAAACACAGATGTGCTGATTACTGACCCAGATGCCGTGAGTGGAAGAGGCTCCTGTGTCCTGATTTTTCAAAGTCGTGAAGAGAGGACTGTTTTTCCTAGACCTAACAGTAATTGCAGCTCCAGAAAATTCTGTGTATGTTCAAAAGGTACAAAAAATTTTTTTATATGTGAAACAGAATTAAAGTTCTAATATAATTAGAAGCACATTTTAAGGGCTGGCATTGTGGCATAGCAGGCAAAGCTGCTGCCTGTGATGGTGACATCCCATATAGGCAAGGGTTCATGTCCTGGCTGCTCTACTTCTGATCCAGCTCCCTGCTAATGGCCTGGGAAAGCAGTGGAAGACAGTCCAAGCGTTGGACACCTGCCACTCATGTGGGAGACCCACATGAAACTCCTGGCTCCTGCATCCAGCCTGACTCAGCCCTGGCTGTTGTGTCCATTTGGGGAGCAAACCAGTGGATGGAAAAACTCTCTGTCTCTCCCTTTCTCTCTGTAATTCTGCCTTTAAATAAAATGAATAAATATTTAAAAATATATTTTTACAAAGAAGCAGCACATTTTAACTGCCATATGAGGGCCATGTGGGACAATGTCTCCCAAATCCCTGTCACTCCCTCTGAATGCCAGCGGCTGCCTCCTCCCCTCATTGTGATAAACTTGAGAAAGAACCTGAAAATGTCCAAGATGCTCCCCTAGGGGGCACTGCTGCTGCGGACTGTAGCGCTAAGGAGACTTGCCTTGGTTTCTACCTATAGCAAGTGAAGACAGTAGTAACTGAGTGAGGAAGACAGTGCATGCAAAGCACTTAGCAAAGTGCCTGGCACATCGCATGTCCTTCAAGGAGGTAAGCTAATATTATCTTGTACTTAATCAGCAAGGGCTGTATCCTTGGCACCCAGGCAGGTGTATGTGAGTGGGTAATGTGGATCAGACAAGCACCACCATCCTTGCCCTATATGTGAAATATGCAGTGAATTATTAAATCGCTTGCAGTTCAGAAAAGGAGCACCCAGGGATGAGTGTCAGAGGGATGGAGTCAGAGGGATCTTTCTGGAGCAGACAATAGTGGCTTATTGAATCAGGGCAGCTGGAACATGAAGGGAAATATATTTATCCCATGAATAAGAAATAACCCCTGGATCATTCCTCGTCAGTATGTGGTCTCCAGGCCAGCAGCAGCAGCCGCAACAGAGGTTTGTGAGAATTGCAGGATCTTACCTCCATCCCAGAACAGCTGAGAATCTGCATCTTCTAGGATCCCCAATTTTAGCAGGAGTGATACTTTTCCCCACCCATCATAAGGGTCATGACCGACACTCCTATAGCTAAAGAAGGCTAGCAAAAGAAAACCATAACAAATTTGTTATCTAACTGTCATGTGACACGGGAGCATTCAGAAACCAAGACCCAAGGACCAGGAAAGCTATCCATGTTTATACTTTGATCAGGTGGAGAATGGAGAGCTGTGCACAAGTGTGATGAACAAAGAGTGTGATCTAAGGGTAACAGACTGGACGGGTAAACTCTGTCTGTGTGGGTTCTTCTTGGCCTCTACGTGGCATCCTTCCTTCCTGGGTTCAGGACAGAGGTCTTCCATAGTGAGATTTGAGGCTGTACTATTGTACAGCGCAGGTCAGGGGATCTCTTCGGCCAGCTCTCTTTTTTTTTTTTTTTTTTTTGACAGGCAGAGTGGACAGTGAGAGAGAGACAGAGAGAAAGGTCTTCCTTTGCTGTAGGTTCACCCTCCAATGGCTGCCGCGGCCGGCGCACCGCACTGATCCAATGGCAGGAGCCAGGTACTTATCCTGGTCTCCCATGGGGTGCAGGGCCCAAGCACTTGGGCCATCCTCCACTGCACTCCCTGGCTACAGCAGAGAGCTGGCCTGGAAGAGGGGCAACCGGGACAGAATCCAGCGCCCCGACCGGGACTAGAACCCGGTGTGCCAGCGCCACAAGGTGGAGGATTAGCCTAGTGAGCTGCGGTGACGGCTAGCTCTGAAACAGAAAGGTGGGAAGGGTAGGATAAGAGTCTAGGTTTTATGGCTTTCTTTGAGGGAGAGGCATCCTAGTTTCTGGGACCCACTTTGCGGAAGAAGAATTCAAATTTCTTATGGACATCTTCCAGGGAGAAACGGAAGCTTCGAAAGAAGGGCAGGAGACAGTTAAAATTGCTTCGGAGCCTCTTTTGCTTTAAAGTACTGAGTGTGCTGGGGCACGGCATACTTTGGGGTACTGTGTTCTGAGCCCCGACATGTGCACCTGCACATTCATGTTTACCATGCACTGGACCACAGACCCAATTGAGGGGCCGGAGGAAAGCACAGTGGTGCTTGCTCTCTGGATGAGAGAGAGAGAGAGAGAGAAGGTGGGTTGCAAAGATTCCCAGTTAACACCTGAATTCTACTGAATCAGAATTTGAGAGCCAGGGAGGAATAGGCATTAACAGACAAACAAAACAAACATCCAGGTGATTCAGAATGAGGAGGTGATTAAAAAAAAAAAAAAAACCCACACCCAGGTCCTAGCAAGACCAGTCACATCAGCCATGAGGTCAGTCTCCAGCGGTCTTGAGGCTTGGCTGGTTTTGCTTGGTCTCCAGGTGGTTCTTTGAGAGCCCTTGATAGAAGGACCCAATGGGATAACCTGGAGGGAGATAGTGGGGGCTAGGAGTCTGCAAGCATGTCTGAAGGTTGTTTATTATTTTTAAAATCTGAGTAGGAAGGGGCCTTTGAAATGACCTCAGTTTACTAATGAGTTGGTCACAAAGGTGAAGTGAAATGGCCAAGGTGAAGGCCAAGGCAGATCTCCTAAATGGAACCCTCCCAGCAAAATGAGACCTTCTCCCCACTTCTAGGTCTGCTTCCCCTGCACCAAAGATGCTGGCCATCATTCTCCGATTTTGATTCTAAGCAAAGAAGCAAGGAGAAAAGAAACCCGCTACTCTTAAAAAAAAAAAAATCAAAACCAAAACCAAAACAAAACAAAAAACCACCCGGGCGGACTCCCTTATGTGAAGCATTTCAGAGTGCTCTGGTTAAATTTAGAGACTAAAGATGAAATCTAGATTCTAGACCTTGGATAGTGAAACCTACATATCCAAGCTGAAGCTTCGAAAATGGTGCGTTCTCTTCTGCGCTGAAACCCAGCGCCAGGTACCAGCGGCGGCGCAGGCAGAGGTGTGCAAAGCCCAGAGCTCAGGGGCAGGCAGGGGAGGGACACAGGAGCAGTCCTGGAGACCGGCACGATTTTCATGGGGGAAATGACAAGCTGGCTATGGAATTGGATGGGACATCCAAGGCCCGAGAGGGTGCTGCGGGGCTCCAAGCACCTTCAGCAGAGCCGCCCGCTGTCTCTGACACCAGGTCCACTGGCTAAGCTGGTGCTGGAGAGAGACACTGGGAGGAGAGTTTAAGCTTCCGAGAAGGCCCACGACCGAAGGGACGGACGGGCAGTGAGGCCCAGGCGCGGACCTTGTAACGCTCAGTTGCCTGCAGGCTTGACCGACCGCGAGCGGTCCCCTCTGGGCACCACCCAGCGGCGCAGGTGGAGCGGGTCCCTCGTCGCGTGCTCTCCTAGCACTGCAGGATCCGCCTGCTCATCCCCTCGCACCCCTAGGCCAGTCCCCCTAGCGTCCGCGCCTGTGGCCCGACCGAGTCACTGCACCCTCCTCAGCTGCCTCGGTGCGCGGGCTCCGGCGCCGGCGCCTTGGGGCGGGTCCCCGCCGCCCGCACCTGCCCCCATGGGCGGAGCGCAGCGGCGACAACGCGGCCCCAGCCTCCGCCGCCGGCCGCGCTAGCCGCGCGGCTCTCCAACCTCCCCCGCCTCCATCCCGGTGCACCTCCCTCCCTCTCCACGCGGTCTGTCCGTCTGTCCCTCCCAAAGCCCCTCGGAGCTGCGGCGCCTCGCACTTCGGACTCGTCGCCTCCTCCAGGATCCGCAGCCCGGCGCCATGGAGCCGGCCTTGGGCAGTGAGCGCCGCAGTCCCCCTGGCTCCGCCGTCCAGCCGCCGCCCCGGGGACACACGCCCTTGGCGGCTGCCCCCAGCCCGGGCCCGCTGGGCACCCCGGCGCGCGAGCCGCCGCAGCCCGAGGAGGAGCGGCAGCCGCGGATCAGCGAGAGCGGCCAGTTCAGTGACGGGCTGGAGGATCGAGGTGAGCGGGCACCGCCCCGGGTTTCCCGGGCCCCTACCGCGGACCGGGGCCGGCTCGCCTCCCGCTATTCGAGGGCCGGGCAGGGCCGGGCGCTGGGCTCGGCATCTCGGAGCACGCGGGGGCCCGGAGCGCGGACTTCCTAGCCGAGGCGCGGAGAGCAGGGGGAGACAGACAGCCCCACCTCCTGCGGCCGGCACCGCCTCGGCAGCGACTCCTTCCCCGAGCCTGGAGAACCCGGCTGCCTCCCGGCCGACCCCGCCTGGGCCCGCGCCCTCCTCCCCAACCGGCCCCAGCCGGCACCAATCGAAAAGTTTGCGGGAGGCGTTTTTGCTTTCAGAGCCGAGCGCTCCCGGGGGACTGCGGGTCCCGCTCGGCTCCGAGGGACCGGGCTCATTGCCAGCTTCGGCTCCTAGGGGAAGTTCCTTCTGAGAGTTGAGTCTCGCGGTGTCCCTCGCCGGCAGCGGGCTGCTTGCTCCAGCAGAGGGTTCGTGGACGGGTGTGAGCCGGGGCCCGGGCTGCCGTGCACCCTTGGGCAGCCCAGCCCCGCACCGGCACCCGGGTCACCGAGGGTCACTGCGGGTCACTGCCCACATGTCTGATAGGTGAGGCAGGAAGCATTTGGGATCGGGCCACTAACCTCATGTGGACGGATGTCACTGAAACCTGGCAGTTTTCGGAGCGCTCATCTCCGATCCCCGCAGAAAGCCCTTCCTGGACCCTGGCCTGGAACCCCGCAAACGGCCATTTCCCGGGGGGGAGGGGAGGCGGATGCAGCCGCCGGCCGCCCACCCGTGCCCCCAGGGAGTGGCCCACTCGGAAAACGGGGCAACCTCATTCCCGCGCAACTCCTCCGCTCCTCTGTCTCTCGCTCGTTTCCTTTTGGCTTGGATTCCTCCTGGCCGGGGGAACCCAGTTCCTGGCCGCATCTACACCCTTTCTGCTTTTTGCTGCTTCCAAATTGGACCCCTCACAAGGGCTCTGCTGAAGCCGCTGAGGGGCCGAAGCGGGGTCCCTGCAGCCCAAGCTCTCCCCGGGGAACTGGCTCTTGGCATCTCCACCCCCTTTTCTTGGAAGCTGTATTTGATCGGCTGTGGCGGGTTTATAGTATATTTTAGTCTTAGCAGGTTTCTGTCCTATTCTTAGAATCTCCTGTACATTTTTATTCCGGATTCGTGTTCGGATGCACGATTTCTTTCTCCTTGGAAATCCTAAACTGCAGCATGTGAATCCGAAGTGAAGAAATGACATGGAAAAGGCAGTTCCCCGAGAATGGGCAGATCGGCTCATCGCGATCTGGAGCGGCTCCAGTTACAACGAGTTCTGCACCTAGCTTTGCGGTTCTGCTCCGAAGCCCGCCTAACTAGATAGCATTGCAGAGCCCAAGATCGGTGCCACCGGTGCCATGGCAAGCAGCCACGGAAACCTAGTACTTAGTTGGGGGTGTGCTAATTGCCTTTGCGCCTTGCACCTAATATCGTAGAATTAGAAAGATTTTGTACTGGGGAAGAACGCAGTGAGTTGAGGTTGTTTTTGGTAGCCATGCGGGTCATCTATAAGAGCCGGCTTCTTTTTCACCCCACCCTGCAAAACGATAGGTGTGAGTTAATATTTAGTATTATTTTACAGCTCACACTTGTCTGTTAAAAAAAAAAAAAACTGGATTCATTCTTCGGATTATTTTCTATTGACCAGCGGACTTTCATTCTGCATTATGTGGTGGCTTTCACAAGTGCCCTGTGTGAAGGCATTGCTTGTCGCACACAGCCTCTCTGTTGGCAAATCCTGGCCCCCAAAGAGCCCACAGCCGCGTGCGTGGCAGGGAGAGCTGAGAGCCGCTGTCACATTCTTTTGTTTGGCTCGCTCCTGATGGTGAAGAGTTAATGACAGACGCGCAGGTTGTTTTGGTTAAATAAACCAAGAGATGACTTGGGGAGGCTTCTTGTATTGGTGCTTGGTATTGTTATTCGTTTCTTGCAGGCCGCTTCTTTCCCAGATGGATTTTTTTGCGTCCCTTGGGAATGGTTCCAGGGCTGTTACCTCTTTCCTGCTGGGGAGAGGGTTTGGGGGGGAGGGGGGAGGAAGCCTAGCCAATGGCTTGCTGTGCTTCTCCGTCCTGCTAGGCTTGCCATCTTTAGGCCTGGATACCTATAGGGTGTGTGTGGGGGGATGGGTACCCTTGATCTGCGCCTGTATTTGGCATTGTCTTTTGTCTTGACTTCCTCCTGAGCCATCAGGATCCTGTTGCAGAGTGCCTCTCACTCTGATCAAAGGCTTGCTTTATGACCCAGGGTTTGGGGACTTGGGAGGCATTTTCCCCTTGGAAGTGACATGCGCTGGTGCCCAGAAACCAAGCTAGCTTGGAATGTCAGTGACTGCCGGACTATTTGGTTGAGTCTTGTACTTCATTGAGCAAGTGCTTTGTGTGTTAGGGGCTAAACTCATAGGAAACAGGCCAAGTTGATTTTAAGCATTCCCCTCTCCCCCAAAATGTTTTCCTATTATTCTGTCTCGGACCTTAGGGCCCCGCTTAGCTGTAGCGACTTTGCTGCTTCGGCATTTTCCACTACCTCTCCATCTACTAAAAATCCCCCTCCTCAGAACACAAGGATGGCAAAGTCTAAGGGGAAAGCAACTGGAACAAATTCTAGCCGGTATGGAAGCAGTTGATGGCCCCGACCTCTGCATGTAGATTTGCTTTCTGCTGCCCCCACATAAATAAGGGGATGAGTCGTTAATCCAACTGTATGCTTAGTATTGCCAGGCCTGTGTGGCAGATAGTAAAATTGGAGCAAGATTAGAAATGTGACTGTGGGGGCTGGTGCTGTGGCATAGTAGGCTAAGCCTCTGGCCTGTGGCGTTGGCATCCCTTAAGGGTGCTGGTTCGAGTTCAGGCTGCTCCTCTTCCTATCCAGCTCTCTGCTTATGGCCTGGGAAAGCAGTGGAAGATGGCCCAGGTGCTTGGGTTTAAGCACCCATGTGGGAGACCTGGAAGAAGCTCCTGGCTTTGGATAGGCCCAGATCTTGGCGTTGTGGCTATTTGGGGAGTGAACCAACAGATGGAAGATCTTTCTGTCTCTCCCTCTCTCTCTTTTTCTCTCTGTAACTCTGCCTCTTGAACAAATAAATCTTAAAAAAAAAAAAAAAAGGAAATTTGCCTGAAAAATCCAGGCTAGGGGTAGGGAAGACACAGCTCTGTGTGCACATGGGGGGCTTGTCTTAGCTTCCCTAGGTTATCCTGCCTCCCCACCACATCATTCTTCTACCTTTGGTACCAGGCCGCCTTCCTGAAAACCCTGGGAATCCTCACCACATCTTAGTGAATGGTGAGTGAACCCGCATCTGACACGGGGTAGAGGCCCCAGTATGTGCACCGGCCGTTTCTCGGCCAGGTCTTGGTGGGCCATCCTATTCCACTTCTCTTTGGGGAATGGGATGTTTGCCACATATAGTGTTGGCTATATGTTCAGACAAAAAAAAAATTGCTAGGAAATAAATAGAGTTAGGTAGGAATGGGAAAGTCTCTCTCTTTTTGGACAATTTTCCCACCGGGCTCCATTTCTGTTTTTTAATTAAAAAATCAAATCTTACGGAGGTGACACACACAGGATGCGGTCTGCAGAAGACTCACCAGTCTTCCTGCTGGAAGGACCCCAGGGCCACCTTGGTGGCCATCCAGCCCATGTGGGCTGTCACCTCGAACTCCTCCAGGGGCCCCACTGGTAGACAAAGAGTGTGGACTGTCCTGCATGTGTGGATCACGTGTTGTTGCTGGTTGTTGAAACCAGCTGGCTTTGGAGGGAAGAATGAAAGTTAGAGCATGAAAGGGAGCCCAGATCGTGGTCACTTCTTGTAGAACATGGAGCTACTGGTACAAGGAAACTTATTTTTGCCCCTGGTGGATAAAACTCTTTTTTAAAAAGAAAGATTTTTATTTATTTATTTGACAGGTAGAGTTACAGACAATGAGAGAGAGAGAGACAAACAGAAAGGTCCTCCTTCTGTTGGTTCACCCCCCAAATGGCTGCCACGGCCTTGAGCCATCCTCCACTGCCTTCTTGAGCCATCCTCCACTGCCTTCCCCGGGCCACAGCAGAGAGCTGGACTGGAAGAGGAGCAACCAGGACTAGAACCTGGCACCCACATGGGATGCTGGCGCCGCAGGCGGAGGATTAACCAAGTGAGCCATGGCCGCGGCCCCCAGATCAACCTCTTGATATTGTTGCTGTCAAAACCCCTACCAAACAGACTGCGTATTTGGATCAGTACTTGAGTGTTATAGCTTCACTTCCCCTGAAAATCCAACCGGCCAGGAGAGGAAGCCTCTTCTGTTGCTTGGGAGCAGAGAAATGCATTCCTGGGCGTATGAGACCTGCTTGTTCTAGGTTGCAGCTTTAGCCGGAGACGACTTTTCAGCAGGTGAGGAACAAGTAGACTCAGGGACCTGTGATTTTCCTGTGCCTCATCGCTTGGGCAGGATTGCCGAGAGAGAGACAAGGTATTTGCCTTCTCTCTCAAGTGCATTTCTGAGGGAGGTCTGAGAAGATCTTTGCAGTGAGGTGGTAGAGATGGTGTTTGCGCTTCCCGAGTGTGTTCCCCGTGCATTGCTCCCGCATGAGGTTTTGATCATTTAAAAATCTTCTGGGTGGTACGTGGGCTCACTGCACAGCCTTCTTGACAATGCTTCCTGCTTTTGCAGGGCTTGCCCAGGGATGCCCAAGTGTGGGCAAGAAATAGAACTGAGAAGTTTTAGCAGGGTCCTTGTTCAAATTCATGAACAGGTTGCAGCTTTTTAGAAAACAAGACCCTAAAGGGTGGTGCTTGGACTCACTGATTTCCCCGAACCAAAGGATGCTGGCAGGGCCTCGGAGGCAGAGTCTTCCTGGCTTCCTCCTGCCCTTTCTCCTGCTTCTCTTTCTCCTCCAGTGCAGTCCACAAAAATTACACTTCTTCCTCCTCAAGGAGGGTCGTAGAAACTAAAACCCTTCTCCTGCAGAGATGGCTGTTAAAGCTAGAACTGTTACTGCAAACCCCCGCCCCCCCGCAACTGTATAAGAGCTGACCTTAAAGAAATTTTCAGATCTACCCTGTCTGATTATAGATCATGAGACCCTCATTCCAGAGGGGATCCTGCCCTAGACGTAAGGGGAAGGAGGTATCCGGACCCCAGGCCTCGCTGCGTCTCCCCCTCGATGATCTGTTAGCATCAGGCCAGGCCCTCCCATCGGTCACGTTCTTACACAGCTGCTCCTTCTTCACTGAGTGAGCCTTGGGGTCTTTGCTTCTGAAGGCTCCTGCGTCACATAGAACTTTGACTAAATACGCTTGTTAGGCCTTTTCTCCTGTGAGCCTGTTTCTTTGTTGGCTGTGACCCTTCTAATGGGGGAGGAAAGGTGTCACACAGCCTTTCGGCTCCTGTGGCAACCCAAGGCTTGGTGTGCGCCCAGCAAGAGAAAAAGGATGCTGTCTTGATGTGAATGCAGGTGTGCTGTGTCCCATGCTGTGTGGGTGCCTGACCTGTGATACCCGTTCCTGCATCAGGTGGTGTGAGCTGCTGTGCTACAGCTGCTCGGCCTGTGGGGGGAAAGGTGTGGATTGTGCAGCCGGAGATGGCGCAGGAGGCTCCTTTTTATGCGAATTTTGGCTTCCTTCGTAACCGAGAGATGCCATATACAATTTGTTTTCAAAGGAGAAGAAAAAAACCATACATCAAGGGCAACCTGAAGAAGTTTTAGCCTTTGACCCCAGGCAACTGAACTTGGGCATGGACTGGGCATCATTTTGAATTTCTGTTGTCGTCAAAGACTTTCAACGCTCAAAGCCTGCAAGACTGGCCTGCCTGGGAAGATAACTCTGGTTTTATCAGCTTTCTCTCACTTTAATTACGAGGATTTTTTTTTTTTAACATGGGTTTGGTATAAAGGTTCGAGAGAAGAAAACATGACATGTACCATGATGCTTTAAAAATTGTGTACAGCGGTAGACATTTGGCATGGTGGTTGAGATGCACTTGTTGAGTGTTAGAGTGCAGGGTCTTGGTGCCCAGCTTGGCTCTGGTTCCAGCCTCATGCCTGTGCAGACCCTGGGAAGTACTAATGGTAGTGGCTCATGATTAGGTTCCTGCTACCCACATAGGAGACCTGGCTTGGGTTGCAGACAGCTGGCTTTGGTCTCCGGGGCAGGACTGATGTGGGTCTTTGGGAAATGAACCATAAGATGGACGTTTTCTGTTTCTCTTTTCTCAAATACATTTTTTAAAAAAGTTTGTGAAAAATGGAATTGAAAGATGATTGCTTTGATGCAAAAAATTAAAAAGAAAATTTAATGACTTATTTTATTTGAAAGGGGAAGAGAGAGAGAAAGAGAGAGAGAGATATTTATTATTCATTGGTTCACCCTGCAATGCCTACAGCTGTAGGGGCTGGGCCCTGCTGAAGCCAGGAACCAGGAGCTAGATCTCACTCCAAGTCTCTCAGAGGGAACAAAGGACTTGAGCCATCACTTGCTGCCTCGGGGTACATGTTAGCAGGAAGTTGGAAACAGGACAGCTAGGACTTGAACCCAGCCACTCCAGTATGGAATGTGGGCTGTCCCAAATGGCTTCCTCACTGCTGCACCAAACGCTAACTCGGTGCAAAAACTTTTTTGAATGTAGTGTTTTTCATAATATACGTTTCCACGAACTTTGGAAGCCCTGTCACAATTTGGGTCTGGTGGCTGTTGTTGGGTGTGGTTAAAGAGAAAATGGCCATCTCCTCTTGTGAATTGTCTGAAGGAGCAAGAAAAGCATTTGTACTTCTTGACTCCTTGCTCTGGGCGAAGGCCTGTCCACCTGTTGGGACTGTGCTGGTGGGTCCATGGAAATCGATGCCCACAGCTGAGGGCTCCAAATGCCAGCTGCATGTCCGGCTGTTTTCCTTGTTGGAAGGAGCAGCATTGTGCTTGAGTCACAAAGCTTAAGGTAGCAATGGGGGAAAGGCCTGGGGTGCTATGTCAGGGAACGCTGGGGTCTGCAGAGTTGCAAAGGGACAGCTGCTGTCACCTTGCACATGTCACGTTGCCCGTGTCACCTTGCCAGAGCCTGAGCGTTTTCAGGGCATGCCAGCAAGCCTGCTTTCTCATGTGAAATCTCCTAATTGTTACAACACAGTATGGGCCAAACACAACACATCTTGGCCCACCGACTGTCAGTTTGCAATCTTTGGATAAGAAATTGCCATTCTGGCGTGGGTTTCTTAACAAGAAAATGTCTGACTTCCTTTTCTCCTTGCCTTTGTCAGGCTTACTAGAAAGCAGCACCCGGCTGAAACCCCACGAAGCCCAGAACTACCGGAAGAAGGCACTGTGGGTCTCCTGGTTCTCCATTATCGTCACGCTGGCCCTCGCTGTGGCCGCCTTCAGTGAGTGTCCATCAGGAGCCTCGCGGGTCCATGCCTGCGCTGTTGCCCGTCTTACGCTCTAACTCCTGCGGGATGCGCTTTTGCTCTGCGTTGACTGTTATTGATGAGCACATTTTTGGAGCTGGTTGGATGTCAGGGTACTGCAGAGGAAAGGGGTGTTCAGGGGAAGAGAGGCAGACCTGGTCTGCCGCTTTGTGGAAGCGGCAGCCCAGGAGTGCAGTGATCTCCTGTCGGATGCCTTCCGCCTGAGCTGCTACGTGACACGTGACGTGTCCTCGAGATGCTTATTTCAAGCCTAATGCAACATGACGAGTGTAGAATTGCAGTGAGCGCTCTCCTTTCCCCAGATGATATCAGTCTGTAAGGTTTGCAGTGAATTCACGTGTACATTTTAATGAAAGAAAAATGGGAGGTGCTTCTCTGGAGTTGTCCGTGGCCTTGGAAGCAAAAACAATGATGACAATTAAGGGAATGGGGTGGTTCCTGCCCACAGATGATCCTGTACTCTGTGACATGTGTTTTCTCCATTACCATTTGCCTCCTGTGGAAATGTGCGTGTGCTATTTATTCTTATTAATCGTGTGATGATTCACAGGCCGGAGCATTGCCAGTGATGGCCCAACCTTGGCCAGAAACTGTGGCTCTATTTGTTGTTGTTTTTCTTAATGCCAGAGAAAAGAATGTTTTGGGCATTTCGTGATGAAGCCGTTATTACCTCACAGAAAAATCTTTAAGCAGTGAGCACAATATCAGGTGTCTGAGAGTAGGAGAAAGAAAGGACTGTGTCCGCTGGAAGACAGGGCTGTGTGTGTGTGTGTGTGTATTTAAAATTCTATTCTGCAAGGTTAGATCTGCTGCAGGAAGATGCAATTGGCTCCCAAGAGGGAATGTTAGAATTTGACCAAATGCTCCCTGCAAAACTAGGCAGACATTACTTGAAGCAATTCATGTTGGGAACACTGGGCCATAGCTTGGCTCTAGAAAAGCCAAACATTTAGAAGCAGAGGGTAATGCATTTTTTAGAGGGGATAAACATTTACCAGCCAGCCAGAAATCTAATCAAGAGGAATTTTGATTCCTGAAAAGAGCTACTCCGGGCTCCCTCCCTTTTGAATGCTGAAGCAAGAATAACAAGCCAGATTGATGTCCCTGGAGGATAATTTGGTTGTGGTGGCTGGTGGGGGCCTCTGGATCAGACACTGTGATTTACATATGTAAAGAAAGAGGAGTGGAAGGAAGGCGGGTGGTTTACAAACAGAATAATGGTTACTCAGACATGTCCATGTGCCTAATAAAGCTGTTAGGACTTCATTGTGTGAATGTTTGAGGACCTGACTGGGAAGAAATAATGAGCAAGTCTTCCCTTCAGGAGAATAAGATTGTATTTGCTATAACTAAGTCTCATAATAGGGAAAAATTATGAGAAAATTTTGGTTTTACCTGATCGATTTGGTTGTCTTAAAAATCTTGTTCCATTTCTGTTTAAACAATGTGTAATATTCAGAATTACAACATTGCTTTGTGGAAAAGGTTTCCTTTGCTTTTTATGATTTCACCCCTTTACTACAGCAAGTATTTAAATTCCCTAACTTCTTGCCTACAAAATGTTATTAGCTTATAATGTGATGCCCGTTATTTTCTATAGTACATTCAGTTTGTTCATAAGTTGCTTTCAACTTGTTTTGGTTAAGTTAAACCTAAAAAGGTAGAAGATGAATTATATTTTCCCTCACTTTAATTGTAGAGTAGCTTTATTGGCTTTATTGTGTGTGTGTGTGTTTCATATTTTAAACTCTTGGACTTGCCTGTTGTGAAAGTTGTTGGTTTTACTCTTTAGCTTCTTAAATGTGTTTATAGTATGAAATATTTAAAATCCTCTTAAAAGTGCTGTTTACAAGTTGACAGTCAGTTTTTGCAATCCCTTTCATAGTTTTAAAAGATTGAGAGGCCGGCGCTGTGGCTCAATATGAGGCTAATCCTCCACCTTGCGGCGCCGGCACACTGGGTTCTAGTCCCGGTTGGGGCGCCGGATTCTGTCCCGGTTGCCCCTCTTCCAGGCCAGCTCTCTGCTGTGGCCCAGGAAGGCAGTGGAGGATGGCCCAAGTGCTTGGGCCCTGCACCCGCATGGGAGGCCAGGAGAAGCACCTGGCTCCTGGCTTCAGATCAGTGTGGTGCACTGGCTGCAGCGTGCTGGCTGCTTGGAGGGTGAACCAATGGCAAAGGAAGACCTTTCTCTCTGTCTCTCTCTCTCTCTTACTGTCCACTCTGCCTGTCCAAAATACAAAAAAAAAAACACGATTGAGATATATATATTTGAATATATTTGAAAGAGTTACAGAGAGATAGGAAGAGAGAGAGAGAGATTGATTCTATTCACTGGTTCACTCTCCAAATGGCAGCAAAGACCAGGGCTGGGCTAGGTTGGGGCTGGACTAGGCTGAAGCCAGGAACCAAGAACTCCATCGGGGTCTCCTGTGTGGGTGGCAGGATCCTAGCACTTGCGCCATCATCTGTTGCCTCCCAGGTGCATTAGCCGGAAGCTGGATTGGAAGTGTGGAATAACTGAAACTCAAACCAGGCACTCAGTCTAGAATGTTGGCATCTCAAGTGGTGGTAGTTTAGCCCACTGTCCAGAATACCCACTCCTCACCCCTAAGTTTTTTTTTTAAATGTGTCCCTGAGAGCCCCAAGCTTATTCTCCAAAGAGGTAGCTGGTAGAGAATGGATGAAATGGAAAACTCTGGCTTAGTGAACCTTGTCCTATCCAGTGAAATGGACAGGTTGAACAGTTAGCACTTTTTAGGAGAACTGCTATAGAATTACTAGATATAGTGCTGTAGTATGGAAGAGAAATCGTTATAGTGTGTGCTCATGAGAAAGTGTGCTTGCACGTGTGTGTGTGTTGTGTTGGCAGGGGATATTAATCATGGGGAAGACAAACGGACTGTGTTTGTATATTTATGTGCCTATGGTCTTATCTTCTTACCACTGCAGATGGTAAAAAAACAGGGGCAGGAAGAGCATCCATCATCCTTGCATGAATTCAGTCCTTACAACTGTTAAACGAATAAATGGAGACAGATTTTTTTATATTTATTTATTTACTTGAAAGGCAGCATTATATATATATATATATAGAGAGAGACAGAGAGACAGAGACAGAGACAGAGAGATCTTCCATCCACTGGTTCACTCCCCTAATGGCTGCAATGGCCAGAGCTGGGCTGGTCCAGAAGCCAGGAGCCAGAAGCTTCATCCAGGTCTCCCACATGGATGCAGGGGCCCAAGCACTTGAGTCATCCTCTGCTGCTTTCCCAGGAACATTAGCAGAGAGCTGGATCAGAAGTGGAGTGGTGGATACTGGAACCAGCACCTATGTGGGATGCCAGCACAGCAGATGGTGGCTTTACTTGCTATGCCACAGTGCCAGCCCCCTGAGACAGATTTCTAGAACCTTATTTTTTTTTAAAGATTTATTTATTTACCGGAATGTCAGAGTTAGGCAGAGAGAGAGAGAGAGAGAGAGAGAGAGAGGTCTTCCATCCGCTCATTCACTCCTCAAATGGCCACAGTGGCTGGAGCTGAGCTGATCGGAAGTCAGGACCAGGAGCCTCTTTTGGGTTTCCCACGTGGGTGCAGGGGCCCAAGGACTTGGGCCGTCTTCTGCTGCTTTCCCAGGCCATAGCAGAGAGCTGGATCAGAAATGGAGCAGCTGCGACTCGAACTGGTGCCCACATGGGATACCGGCATTGCAGGCAGTGGCTCTACCTGCTATGCCACAGGGCCGGCCTCTCTAGAACCCTTTTTTAAAAAATAAGATAGATGGACAATATTTCTTTAAAAAATGATAAATTTCACTTAGTGTTTTGTTTAGATACTAGACTTGAGTCTCATTTGTTTTGTAAATAATTCCAGTTGCTGGAGACAGTTGGGTACCCCGTATGGCCACGGTCTTGGTAACAGCCGTATCACAGAGCTGGGTCTACCGAGGTGGGCTGGAATTCCTGGCTTCACCTACTCAACTGCTGTTTTTCTGTTTCACATAGATGCTAGTTTTTGGCTAAGCATCTTCTGAAGAAATGCTGTTGTCTCTTTTGTGTTTGGATATGAGGGGACTTCAAGCAGTTTATAGAAAATGGAATTACAAGATGTTTGTTTTGGTACAAAAATTTTTGAAATCTATGCATGGTTTTTCATAATATGGATTTTCCATGAACTTATTGAAGACTCGCTCATATGCATGGATTTCCATTGTTTTGCACTGAAAGGCAAAGTGGTAGAAAGAGAGAGATCAAGATCCTGCATTGGCTTATTCATCTCCCAAATGCCCACAACACCTGGGCTAGGCCAGCGCAGGAGCCAGGAACTCCATCCCGGTCTTTCATGTGACTGGCGGGACCCAACTATTTGAGCCACCGCTGCTGCCTGTCAGGGTGTGCATCAGCCGGAAGCTGGGGATTGGAAGCGGAGGTGGGGCTCCACCCTAGGCACTGTTAACTTGGGAAACATCCTACATGGGATGGGGGAGCCCCAAGTGGCAGCTTAACTTGCTGACCACAACTCCCACTCCTAACCTGAACTTTCAATTTCCTTTTCAAAGAACTTTTATAAGTGCCCTAGGATAAACTTGAGGGGCATCTCTTTTCTCCGTTATCTGGAAAGTTTCCCATTTTTACATATGATGTACATTGTAAGTACAGATTGTTAACTTTCACCTTCTCAAAGTTTGCAGGTAATCCATGCACTGTGTTTTCCCAAGTTAATAGTTTCTGAACGGCCTAAGGATGAAAGTAGCTTAAGTCTGTATTACTGAGTTATTTCATCTAAATCAGTTACATGTGTGACTGTGATTGACAGTCACCTGTGTGATCTACTTTAGCAAATTCGATGGACTTTCAAAGTTTGTGCCTTGAAAACAATATGAACTAGTTTTGATAATACTTGATAATATAGCAATTTTGGACCTGTTCAAATGCTGATATAAAACCAGATGGTGGGCC